TAAACTGTGACGCAGTGGTCAATATGTCAATTTCCTTAAAAATCTCCCTAAGTGAGGTACGTTAATATATAGATCACTTTAGAGTGATCTATATATTAACGTACCTCACTGTACGCTTGAATTTATCGTTAGAAGTTATAATTGAATACTAATTCATTTCGATTTCTTTACCTTTGTTTGAGTATTTACTCCTTTATGTACTGATATTAGTGTTGTGACACTCAAGAAAAATGATATTCGTCAATATCTGTTTTACCGTATCAGTGAAAAAGTAATATTTTTGTAAAAGTAAGATCTTATCTCTGCTATACACTATGTGATAGCCCAAATGATAATCGATCGTTCAATTCAAGTGCGATGAGAATATAGATGTCGAATTTCACTACCAAAATGATAGTTGTGTTCTTTAATGACTTAAAAATAATTGATTGGCCCCATGATCTTATATATAAATCATTGGATTGGCCCCAATAACATGTGTCGTCGTAGTCGTATACTGTCGTATGTTTATGTGAACTTATAACGACAACGTAAACAAGCGTAATACATGTTATTACGCTTGTTTAATGTTATTAAGTTTTCCAGTTCTTGCACTGATTTATTAACGTATCTTTTTTTCTAATGATGTTTTATACGCTGAATAATTTTGATGCGATAAACATGTCTCCTGTACCCATCTTATCGAACTCTATAAATATTCATACGGATAATAAAGACACAATATCGATCCCTCCTACGTAATCTATTGTAAACCACAAAAGTAGATGCATTTTATTTATAAATCGCTATATTTTATGTAGGTCTATTTACACTACACAATAAAATTATAAAGCATTTTTTATATCATAAAGCAAATTAAAAATAATGAGTATGTATAAAATTTAATTCCAACATCTCAAGAATCGCAGATATTATTCTCAATTTAGTGCTTTCAATACGTACTCTTGTAAAATGGTGAATATGAGCTTACGATTCATTACGTAGAAGGGATCGATATGGTAATAAATAAATATATATAGAAATTTTGTATGTGGTTACGATACTGGACGTATTTGATAATGTTATTGAAATGTGTGTTAAATAAACAAAAATAAATAAATTAATAGTAACTAAAGTGGGCAGAACTTTTTCCTTTTCTTGTTAAGTTTATTATTTAGTTTCTTAATTACTGCGCATCACTACTTAAGTTGGTTAAATTTTATCCATTGTGTGTCGCTGATAGTCAATTTAAGTTAATTAACACTTGAAAACATGTGAAGGAGTATAGACACTATTGCATTTATATAAAAACGTTGTTGCTTATAAATGGGTCATTGAAATTAAATTAATTAATTTATCTTTTTTGTTCCTGTTAATTAATTAATTAATTAACAGGAACATACACAATATTAATTTTAACATCTATCTTAATTTGAAAATTGTGAATTGGATAATTTTAGTGATAAATATCACAGCTTCAAGAATGTCATCCAAAAATATTTTACCAGTGAAATTAATAGTCTTTAGCGAGCTATCTAGCTGTTATTTTGCTTAGTTTTGCTTAATTTTATCTGTTTTTGCTATTTGTAGCTATAAAAATTGTTGAAAGTAAACTTGATTTGATCCAGTCATATATGTATAGACAGACTAGTCATAATCTCGTGCTTCCAAAATAATACTTTTATCTAACGCAGAACATACCTTTAATTTAAATGCATATACATGCATGCATGCGTTAAGTATAAAAACGAAACATTTAAAACTAGTACTATACAGTACTAGTTCTAAATGTTTCGTTTTTATACTTAACGCATCTGTATGAATTTAGTTGCTAAACCTTATTAAATAAAAAATATATAATATATATATCCGAATAACAAGGAAACACAGCATTCTTATATGTCATCAGACAGACAACAAGTAAGGAACAAAAACAAAAACAAAATTTTTACCTTTAAAATTCTAATGGTATTCACTGAAACATATTTGTTTTTATTTTATTTATGTTTTACTAATTTTTGCTTGAATTGGTAACGTGTCATTAAAAATATCTATTTCAATGAAATCAGTATAAATTACATTATACTCTCTGCATAAGCGCAAGTATTTCTGCATTTTGGCAGCAGCAGAGCACCTTGTGAAAGAGTTCGTCCAAGGAAGTACTGCCAACTTACCTATTTCAGCCGCCAAGCAGTAATGTTAGCATTAGTGCGTTCCGTTTTACAAGGGTAAGGGTGCTGGTGAAATTACAGACACATGGGACTTATCAACTTATGTCTCAGAGTGAAGGGCGCAGTGGCAGTGGTCCTCAGATCTTTGCGATTTAAAACTCTGTGTGGCACTGCAACTGTTATGAACAGATGTGGAGCTTACCATCAGGCGCACGACTTGTCCGTTTTGTCACTTGATATTATAAAAACGCGCAATTAGACCTCTATCTTACTTTATTTGTACATACATCTATAATAAATGTTATTTGTAGTAGTAAATTGAAGAAACGCCCGTTCCTTTCCTTTTTACGATAACTTTATAAATGTAATGCGCCAAAGTTCCAGAGTACTGCCCTTACCATCACTAAGAGTATTGGGATACTTGGAGTCGACATCATGGACAAAGTCCAGGACCCCAATTCAAAACTCTTCTATATTTTAACCGAATCGCTCGATTGGATATCGTTCTCGAATCGAAGGGTGCTGTACGAGCTATTCAGAACACTCCAAGTTAAATGTTAAATTCGGATTCGGATACGATATCGTTATCCAACAGCGTTTACGGAGTAGTTAGTCGGTGAAATATATATAAGAAAAATGAAAATCCTTTTACATACATTTTTAAGACTTTAAATGCCTAAAATATAGAAATTGCATTAAAGCGCAATTAGTCTTGCATTAAAATAAATTAATAAAATTTTACAAAATCCAGACTTTACTTAAAATAATAAGAGATTTCCATATTACGTTCTTGCTTTGTAAACAATAGGACATTCGGTAACTTTCATTCAATAGCTGTGTTCTGAATAACGTTTGTAGCCTTTGCCGGTCAAGAAGTTCGAGTTATCGTATGGGTGGGACGTCATTTCGGTTCGGTTTCGAATACAAGAGTTTGACGTTCGATTCGGGTGTTGAGAATAAAAATGAAAAGAAATCGGTCGACAACTGAGTTATTGCAAGGTTTTGAATCGACCCCCAGTTCCGGAATCATTTGGGGAGCAAAGTCAAACCGGCTTCGAAAAACCTCAGAGTGCTTAAAAGAGCGAAGCAGTGTTTTTCACTAAGTCACCGACTTTTGTTGTATAAAATACAAGTTCGGTCCCGTACTGAGTCTTGCTCGCATCCCTGGGAAGGAGCTCCTAAATACCAAGCTTGACCCACTCCATCCAACATATGGCTGTTCATATTGTCGATGATCCCAAACTCACAGACGGTATGGAGCCCCTTAACTTACGGAGAGACGTTGGTTCTCTGTGTGTGTTCTACCACCTTTATAAGGGGGAGTGCTCAGTGGATCTTTTCGAACTAGTGCCACCGTCTCGTTTCCAATCGCAACTCTCGCCAAAGGAGTAGAGTCTACCCCCACAGTTTAGATTGGCAGTGTAAGACTCTAAATAAAGTAAAGTTGGAAAATAATATAAAGTGGGACGATATCTTAAAGTACAAATTAGTGATGCAACGGAAGTGTCGTAACGGAAAAGGAAACAGATATTAAAAGTGAATCTTAACGGAAACGGATACGGAAGTGTTAACACTATAATATCTCTAAGAAATTATTCCAAACATGGCTTGTTTTTGGTTTCATAAATACACTTAACATGACATAAAACTGCTAAAAAACACGCACTCCGCTGCCAAACAAATCGCGCTAGCGCCTGAGTCATCGCCAACGTTGTAAACTTCCGATTATAGATCCGCCATAAAAGTTGCGCAAGTAGAAACGGAAACATATGTGAAAAATCGTGCGGAATTTCCGCAGCTGCGTAAGCAGAAGCAGAGGTCTGTGCATCACTAGTACACATTCTCTCACTAGGGCGGTAAGTATGCAATTACAAAGGAGAGACGTCAACGAACGTTTGTAATTGCTGTTCCACTTGCGAGGAAGTTATAATAAGGATAATTATATTTACAATGTGGATTGATGACTTAGTGATGGTTGCGGGAAACCGCTGGTTGATGCGGCACAAGATCATCCGTTGTAGCGTTCTTTGGGGATACGTCCAGCAGTGGACGTCTTTCGGCTGCAATGAATATGATGATGATGATGATATTTACAAAATTTGAATATGTCAGAAACAAATATATATAAAGAATAATAATGACAAATCGTCAGAAGTTCGCATTCGGGATGTGTTAGCGAAGTATGACGCCCAGTATCTTTGGAGTAAAACTGCTAGACCGCATGCAGAACAGTACACTGCGCTCCAAAACACAAATCGTTGACGTTGATCAAGAAGCCGCCAGCCTGAAATGGAACTGGACCGAGTACGTCTGCTAGTATGTCAAGCGAGCATTGAGCAAAAACCTGTGGATCTCACCATACACAAGACGGAGACGTGGAAGAATCTAAAAGAGATAACGATAGATGACAGATGGCAGAAGGGAAAGGAGCCAAACGGCTCCTTTCCCTTCTGCCATCTGCAACTGCCTTCTGCCACGCAGTGTGATGTGAAAATTGAAAACGAAATTAAATTAAAGAACAACAAATTTTTAAGCATTAAGATTTTACTTTGCCATTGCGCATGAATGAAGGAAATCTTAAAGTTTATGTATGTCATGGTACGAGGGTGCGTTTTTAAGTTCGCGGAATGAGAGGGTTGTGGGGAGGCGATTAGGCTCATTAGGGTCGTAACGTGTTCAGTGACTCATAATTAGTATAAATACGAGGTTTCATTGCTATTAGACCATTAGTCTTTGAGTTATCGTCAATCAAGCAACATAATCGGGAGTGAAAAGTGAAATATGGAAAAAATCGAATATCGTGCCGTTATAAAGTTCCTTACAAAGCAAGGAAAATCAGTTGCGACCATAATGAATGAGATGTCATTGGTTTACGGCGACTCTTGTCCAGGAAAAACCATGGTGTACAAGTGGCACAATTTATTTAAACAAGGAAGGGAATCCCTTGAAGACGATCCGAGGCCGGGCAGGAGCATCGAGGTGACCACGCCAGAACTTATCCAAAAAGTTGAAAAAATTGTACTGGAAGATTCTCGACTAAAGAAGAAACAACTCGCAGAAATGCTTGGAGCATCAGATACAACCATTTTTAAAATTCTTCATGATCATCTTGGCATGACTAAGGTCAGTGCAAGATGGGTGCCGAGAATGCTCACGCCGCCGCAAAAACAACAGCGCGTCGAGTGTTCACGTGCATTTTTGGACCTCTGTAATGAAGACAAGGATGATGTATTGAGTCGAATTGTTACTGGAGACGAAACTTGGGTTCATCATTATGAACCTGAGTCGAAACAAGACTCCATGCAGTGGCATAAAAAGGGCGCAGCACCCCCTAAGAAGTTTAAGGTGTCACAGTCAGCTGGGAAAATCATGGCAACGGTCTTTTGGGACTCGGAAGGAATATTATTAATCGACTATAAAGATAAAGGTGTTTCTATAACCGGGGAATACTACGCTTCAATATTAGAGCGACTTAAAGAAGCCATTAAGGAGAAAAGACGGGGAAAATTGACGAAAGGTGTGTTGCTTTTGCACGACAACGCGCCCGTTCACAAGAGCCGCGTTGCGTTGGCTGCCCTGCATAAGGTGGGCTTCGATATTTTAGATCACCCACCCTACAGCCCAGACCTGGCCCCGAGTGATTATTACCTGTTTCCAAAAATGAAAAAAGACCGCAGCTCTTTAACTTCATCATCGGTGGTAAAAAATTTACCACCGATGATGAAGTCAAGGAGGCAGTTTCGGCGTATTTTATAGACAAAGACCAATCACTTTTTTATGAGGGTATAAATAAATTAATTGAAAGATCTGAAAAATGTATTCGTCTTGCAGGTGAATATATTGAAAAGCAAAAATAATTTGGTTTTTTTATTTCCACTCCTTATCCCCCAGTCCGCGAATATAAAAACGCCCACTCGTATCTTGAGTATTTTATCATTTTTATAAAAATTATAAACTAACGAAAGTGATTATATTTATATCAGTTTTAATAAAAATCGACTGCTTTTTGAGGTTGAGGTGGCCAAACCAGCATTTTGTACGCGCCCTAAGCGGGCGGCGGTATGATAAAATTACCGCATATATCTGCTGCAATTTATACTACTACTAAATAAATAAATTATAAAATATAATATTAGTTCCGTTGAAAAAGCCGTTACGTACTTTTGGCGTCGTCTCTTTTCAAATATTTCAAAAAAACGAATAAATAAGCATCTAAGCATTATTTTTTGTATTCGAGAAAGGCTTTAGAAAAAAATTAACAAAAGGTACTCAGACTTGCTTGTTGAAAAGTCTGCTCGCGCCGTGTTCCAAAAAGAGACAGGCGAAAAAAACGTAAAGCGTTTTTCGTCTACGCTAAGGTGGATTACGACGTGCATTATTCTAGCTACAAAACTAGACAAAAAAGTATTTAAGAATACATCAAGTTAAATACTTAGGTATATGGGTGCTTACATACAAAGCTAAGCTAAAATTTAATTTAATTATGCTGAAGTCTTCATCTTCATTTTCTTGAAAAATCTATTTCTTTACTTTTGAGTCCAACGTCTGTTAGTCTGAGTAGTAAGCCATTGGAAAACCCAATCACACACACAATTTCAAAATCGTTGAAAACACAAACATAGTGTCTGATTTTGAAACCCCTAAATGTGTAGTAGTACGAGTAAACCCTGCATGTGAAACCCTGTTTCAGGTATTTGAGGTTGTAACGAACCGCAGCAGACGGTAGAAAAGATTTTGTACGTATTTTATTATATAGTCTTCTTAGCAGTTTAGTTTTAGATTGAAATTCTAAATTTAAATATACTTGTTTTTGGCGTCTGTTTACTTCATAGATTTAATAAATCTACGGTTTACTTTGCTATTGCCATTGTCTTCTCTGTGTTTCGTCCGTACCTTTTACTTTGTTGGTTTTAATAAATTGTAAGTACATTTACTTTGATCTTGCTCACTCTTTGAGGTATTGTCATCAAAGTCGATGCATTATACTTTAAATATTCTTTATGCGTGCAGGCAACGGCGATCAATAGGGGCCACTAACGGCTAAATTATATTTTTATTATAAAAGTAAGGAACGGGGCTACAATATCCGCTTGCAAATAAAACTGTTTTGGGACAGGGAAAGGTTCAACTTTGCTAATAGTATGCTGCATCTGTATGTGGGATCTGCGAATTCCGTAAAACACGACACGAATGTTCCGTGCATACAAGCTTTGAATACGCCCCTACATTTTTTAAATGATTTTTACAGGTTTTTAGAGAATATGAACGGTATTCTCTTTATGTGTCTAGACTGGCAAACAAACAATTCACTTTATGTAAAGCGGTACCATCATTCTGACGACCGCGGTGGCCCAAAGGTTTGTACTGTGGACGCTCGATTAAGAGATCTCGGGTTCGATTCCCAGTGAACTTTTCTAAATTGGTTCTGGTCTGGGCGTTTTGAGAAGTACCCCAGAGTGAATTCCGTCGCTCTTGAATTCATACTACAGGTAATTCTCTAATTTGAATCCAAGCGATTGGTGTGGTTGTCTACCACTTAACATACCCATAATACATAACCACCTTCAGATAATTGCACTGCTAAGAAAGTATTCTCAACATTCATAATATTGCAAATAATTTAATTTTTAATTACTTCAAAACCGTTTTACGAAAAAGTCAGGCCTACATTATCGCTAAGACAAAAACTTTGTGGTTTAACCACCGAGTGTTGAGTACACACATTTGTTTTGCTTTCTTTTTTCTTTATAATACCTAGTGACGAGACGAACAAGTCGTGCGTCTGGTGGTAAGCGACGCGCCTGCCCACAACAGTTGCAGTGCCACTTTAAAGCTTTAAATCCCAAATATCTTAGGGGCACTTCCACTGCGCCCGTCACCCTGCGAGATAAGCTAACAAATCCCATGTGCCTGTAACTTCACCAGCAACCGTTCCAAACCGGAATGCCTTGCTACACGCTAACAGCGTTCCGGTTTGCTACTACTTGGCGGCAGAAATAGGTAAGGTGGCAGTACTTCCCTGGACGAACTCTTTCACAAAGAGCTCTACTGCCACTAAATTGTCTCTACATCTTCTGGCACTAAGTACATGATTGGCCTTAACCACAAATGGTGCTGAATACAAATAGAATTTTTTTTTTTGTCATTTATCTTCCTTCAAGCACTTAGATAGTCAACAACAATGTAAAACCGTCTGGAACTCATATTTATGTTAATTTGTTAATCGGAATGTTTAATTTGATTTTATTTTATTTGTAAATTTAGTTTTTTTTTGTTGTAGACAATTTTAACATTTTGATTTTAGTATTTTTATTTAAGGATTCAGCTACTTTCAATCAACTATGTATTTTAAAGAATATTGAGTTTTGATTGATTTCAATTTTATTTTCTAAAGTATCACAAGCATCAAATGTTAGTAACATTATATAGTATAGTATAAGATTTCTACTACTAACAAATTTTGAACCTTTCAGCGTTGTCTGATAATAAAAGATTGTTATTTTATTTATTTGTATGCGTTTATTTCCTTATTCATTATAAATGAAAATACTTACATATACTTTCATTTCAAAATTGCAAAATTAAACAACAACAAATATTTCTATATACAAAATACTCTTATTTCTTAAATGTGTATAATTTGATTTTTTTTTAATTAACATTTGACATGTTTCGATCTTGAAGTGGTGTTATATAGTATATAGTGTTTGAATACATATGATACGACCTGTTAATTTTATAATTAACAATATAATAATCACTGATTATTATATCACTTTCGAACCCAGTTTATTAGTATGCCAACAGCATCACGTACACAATTTTTATGTATTATTATAATAGGACACACGTAATATCGCACTGCCATTACTATAGTGTTGTAACTCAAAATATGTGCATTTCAAGATTCTATCATTACTGAACGTAAATTTTGATTCTGTACACGCCAATAAAACCGTCGTCAGAATATTGTAAAAAATAACTAAAATATATAAATTTTTATTAATTTTTTTTTTATTTTTAGTTTTTTAATTTTTCCATTTTAAAATTTAAATATCATTATATCTTAAAATTAACCCACTGATGTAACTTTGTTGTAAATTCTCAGTTTTAAGCTTAGTTACAAGGCTTTCCCAACACAAGCATACATTTGCTTAAAGGGAGGACCTGATCTACCATTGTTGAACCAAATTGAGAAATAAATAAATTTTTAATTTTTAATTAAAAAAAAAAATTTTTTTTAATATTTCAAATATATCTACTTAACTCAAAATGAGACGCGCTTTATGTGAGCTAGTTCTGGCCAAAACAGTCCTTATTAAAAAAAATGAAATTATTGTTCCCCTTTTATTCTTAAATGTATTTGCAAGTAGCAAATTGTTTAGTTGTCTATAATAAACTGTAACCTATACATAAATTTTAATGATCCTGGCAGGAAGTGAGTAATTCTTTTTTTATCGATTTTTAGAAAATACACCTTTTGAGTTAATACACTATTATGTTAACAGTGCGATGTGTATTAGAACACGGTAATCCAGTGTATGAGACACGATCATAGTGAAGCTGGGTTTTCGCTATGCTAGTACACTTGGACTGAGTCCACTCGGATGGCTTCTAGGACGTTACTCGTACGCGCCCAGTTACACGAGGTGAAAGTTTACGCGCGGCCGCCTCGCGGCGACCGCCCAGTTACTGCACCTTCATGTATATTAGTGGCGAATCTGAATTCTAGTTACTAGGCAACAACATTTAAATTCCTCTGAATAATACAACCGCCATCTCTGCGCGAGTCGCTAGGTAGACCAAACTGAAGCCAGACTCGCCCGCGTGCCCAGGACGCTCATTTAAGTTAAAACGTAAAAGATAATCAAATAGAGCGTATTTTGGCATGACAGTTAGATGCACATAACGACCGCGCGCGGCTGCCGCGGACTCCGCTCAGCGATCGCGCGACGGCCGCGGGATCGCTGAGGAGTGCGATGAAATTCGTGTCGAATACATTCATGCGCCCTAAAGAGTGGCGTCCAAGTAGTCATCCGAGTGAACACGGTCCAAGAGTACTCGTATAGTGAAAACCCGACTTAAAATTCCGTCACAAGATACCTTTACTTGTCGATCGACACAATTAATCTTCGAAGAGTTCTGCAACCAGATTCTCGCGCGATGTTTTTCTTTATCGTTAAAAAAAAACAAATTTAATCAATGAACATTCTCGTTACTGTTTATCTTTGTAACAACCATATAATTACGTTTGAAATACGACTTTGGTAAGCACAAATTCAAGGCGTAAGTAGTTCTTGTTTGTTGGTGTAATTGGATTCAAATAATAAAATAATGTTTTTACCAAGTGTATCTGGTGGTAAGCGACACGCCTGTCCATATCAGTTGCAGTGCCACTCAGAGCTTTAAATCACAAAGGTCTGAGGAACACTGCCAATGCGCCCGTCACCCTGAGACATAAGTTGACAAGTCCCATGTGCCTGTTATTTCACCAGCACCATTTACCCTTCAAAACCAAAACGTAGTAATGCTCACATTACGGCTTGGCAGCAGAAATAGGTAAGGTGGCAGTACTTCCCTGAATGAACTCATTCACAATGACCTCTACTGTTACTGAATTACAGTGGCAACATAGAACAACAACTTAAGTATAAAAAATCTAGTCGATAAATTTAAACATTTTTTATTTTTCATTACTGCCAGTTCAATACACAACGTATTTTATTAGCAAGTGAACTAAGTGATTAAAGTGAAAGTGAAAACATGAGTACGTAATGACTCCCGTCGTTTAAAAGACTTTTTAAAAACCCAAAGTTCTTTTTGCTATTCTATAAATACATTGAAAAAGCAATAGAAAATATTTAATAAGGATTCCGATAATTAAATGACGACGTGGCTCAATGGACTTAACAAACTTATTTTTTTTTAAATAGGTATAAAAAAATAGCAAGCTAATTAAATAGCCAACAGGCGACAAATATACAAAAATGTCGTCTGGCCTACGGTTATAATCAACATTCCGCCTAGTGCATTTTAGAGATAAAGTAGCAATGTATTTAGCGTAGATATCTTGGTACTTGGTGCAACGAGCTGGTGTCCGCAACTCGACGACAAAGCGCCTATTTTGCGTGTAGATATATATGAACATTGGTTTTAATAAAAGCGCCTAACACTTTTCTTCGGCAATTACGACCCGTAGAGACTTTCCAAGCTCATAGAAAATTTAATACCACATACTAAGCACTTGTCTTTTTCACTCCAATGTAACGCATATTCCGTCCTTTTTTCCCGCGACGTGGATTTATGCATAGAAGTATACAAGCCGAGAAATACCGAATTGTGATAAAGTTACAAAAATTGACTCACTATTGCAAGGGACGACGGTAAATATTAGACAGTTAATCTCAGTCGGTATTAATAAGTCAGAATTAGTCCATTTAGTCGAATTTCAGTTAAAAAATTACACAGCGAAAGTAACTTTTTTGTTTATGAGATGTTTGCGCGCTATTCTTAAAGTATTTTGAAGTTTAGGGATTAAGATTTCATATAGTATTTGCTATCATAATATTGTAAGGTTTACGGTGATGGGACACGCCTGTCCACAGCACATGCAGTGCCACTCAGAGCTTTAAATCGCAAAGATCTAAAGGACACTGCCACTGTGCCCGTCACCCTGAGACATAAGTTGACAAGTTCCATGTGCCTGTAATTTCGCCAGCAAATCCGGAAGGCAATAACGTACACATTACTGCTTGGCGGCAGAAATAGGTAGTGGCGGTACTTCCCTGGACGAACTCTTTCACAAGGAGCTCTACTGTTACTAAAACTTGTGGTATCGAACTTGTCCCTATCTACTGACCTGAGATATTGTATTGCGGAGATACTACGGGCTCAACAGCAAGACCAGGGTACAGCGGGCGTCCGGGCCAAGCCCTCTGCCAGTGATACGCCTTCATGGGCATCTCTGGTGGACCTGGAGTTGGATAAGGACTCCCTGGGGTTTGTGGTGAGCTGCAGAGACAGACACGTTTGTCTGCCCCGGTAGCATGTGTCCGGTTCTGTCTCGTGCGCAGCTACCGCGTCTTAGTAGTGGTCTAGTTGAGGGCCTGAAGCGAGGAGACGCGCAGAGCACATAAGTTGCCCTTTAAGTTAGAAGCTATGTCCGGACATTGTCGCAGGAAACTGCGACTGGCATCTCCAGCACTAGCCCGGAGAGCTAGTAGAGGACAAACTAGATATGTCCCGGTCCCTCCAGCCGCTTAGATTATTGAGAACTAGAGAGACGTCCTTTTTCGGGGTGGAGAAGTGAACGTACCTTACAGCTCCGTCACCAATGAGGCGGTTTGGTAGTGGACTTAGAGTCGGTAGCTTAGTAGTGGTAACTGCGAGTTGTGCAATGCGCAAAGGGAAGTGAGCGTGCCTACAGCTCCGGTACCTATCTGGAAAATAGGGAGGGTACTGTACGTGCACCCGGGGCTGCTCATCCGAGGCACTAGCCTCTCGAGAACCGGGTGAAGTCAAGTGACAACCCTGTACACTGGCTGATCTGGGGTTAGAACCTGAACTTATAAGATTCCTATGCGCGCACAGGTTACAGTACTCTTCTCGTATACCCTGGTCGAAATCAACCACAGGTTGCAAAAAATCCGTTCCGTTCCATGGGATTCCGTTCCGTTCTACGTCACATAGTATTAAAAATCCCTAACACTTTTCTGGAAGTTGCAGGTAAATAAATTGTTTTTAATTCTTAATATCTAGATTTTGAGAGCTCTTTACAAAAAAAAAACAGCTGCTAGCCTGGTTAAATTTTCCATTTATTTTAGTACCACTAATGGCTCAACTCTTCTGGCAAAGTGTAGTGCATATTGTTTCTGTTATTCACTCATACCAAATGTTTCATCCATAATACGTATACTCTTTTAAATTTGTTGCACGTTAGATTTTCAACTTAATAAATTTGGATTTCGCCTAAATTCTTTCCAAATCCGATGCACTTTTCTAATTACCACTTACTTTAAAGGTGTAGGAAAACATCCTAACAAAACCTGAATGTTGGAAAGAACCATAAACCGAAGACAAATGAAGTCCCCACCCCGTATTGAGAGATCATCGTAGTGGAATACATTTAAACATTCAAAGAACGGGATTGATGGTACTCATTAAACCCACTATCAAACAAATATATGAGAAACAGAAGTGATAACATTAATTAACATAAAGCAAACGTGGGAGCAAACCTTGCAAACACAGCGAGCAGGGAGCGGAAACTTCGCCATCTTGGTGCTGTCATTGTTTCCGGACCCCAAACTGCTTCCGGCGCCGACTTCCCTCGACACTCATTGCATTTGCAAATTGTTGCAATCCGAGGTTTGCTTTACACAGTCATATCATTTATACTTAACATGGAAATTGAGATCGCAACGCAATACATATATAAACACAGCGACACAACGTCATTTCAATAACAATGCAACGTTCTGCCGTTGGTACTAGTAAGTAAAGTCCGCCAAAACCCCATAGCACATAACTAATATTTATAAGTTTCTTGTAAAAAATCCGATCTCAAAAGTTGGTTACCGAGTAATTTTTAGGTCAGTTTTCTTCGTCGTCTACCTCATCGTCACTTTCTTTAAAATGAGATGAAGGTCAAATTGTTCAAATTAAATTATGTATTTACTTAACATTAGTAATGTAAAAGAAGCTCTAAGATAATCCGAGGTGCATAGCACACCTTCATTAATGTACTTCTGAGGTACCCCCTTTCAACAAAAAAAGAATCATCGAAATCGGTACACAAATGTCGGATTAATTGCATAACATTTACACAAAAAAAATCTATAATCGAATGGGAAGCTCCTGCTGTTTCGATAAAAAAAAATTAATTTAATATGGCAATCACAATTTCACAACACCGATTATAATAATTAGTAATAAACCTAATCTTCAAAAATATTACACTATCGCGCCTTTATTACGGGATTTCTGATGGTCGTATTGCAGAACTCTACTCAATGCTCAAGTCAGGACTTGAGTATGATTTAAAGCACTAGAAATTATACTCAAGTCCTGGCGTTTAGGGTCGTATTTCCAATGCTTGAAATCATACTCAAATCCTGACTTGAGCAATGAGTAGAGTTCTGGAATACGACGCTTAGTCTCAGTTTATATTGCAGCGGAACGGAATGGAAGCGAATTTTTGTAACGATATAAACGATATAATTTTCCGCGGAATTGTCGCACATGTTCGAGAATGCTCGCGCACTCGCGTAAATTCCGCTGTAGATTTTGACTCGTATCTAGTTTGTACGTTCCACGTTGACCTAATAAATTAAAAAAAGATTTAATAAAGTTCATTACGCTATGTACAATATCGTTACAAAATTGGTTTCCATTCCGTTCTGCCGCAATATAAACTGAGCCTTAGCTTGCCCAGATTAAATACTCTTACTTATCTTACAACTTAAAAATTACACTCCCACTCTATAACACAAATTTATTCAAGATCTAACAATTTCTAACAATTTGCCTTATATTGTATTTCATACTGAAGGCTTTGGTTTTGTCTTTAAATGAATTATGAAAGAAACATGAAAACATAAAACCTGGCAGTATGGCTAAGGCCACAAATTTGCAACGTTGTGGTGCCTTCTGCAGGGCGTTTAAGGTTTACATGTACATAATGTCTTGTGTTGATTGTATTCAACACAAGAAACACGTTTGCATGCAATATACTTACCTTGAATTTGTGACCTAGACGTCGTAGGAAGGACGAAAATTTTACTTTTACTACCGAGAAAAAAGATATAACGAAATCTTGCGAAAAAATATCAGAAAATAAACTATTGAAGAAAAATTGCAACCTAAGTGGCAGTATGGCCGTTACACGCCTTAACCTGTCCCGAAAAGGACGAAAAATTTTACTACTATTACTACCGAATACTTTCGATACTTCAAATATTATTTAAAATTTAATATGAGTAATATAAATAGTTTATAGAATCTGTGGTGTACAATGTATACTACAGAATAAACACAATTCATGTTTACGTAATAAAATACGATATGTCCCATGAGCTGAATGTTTGCACTGACAACAACGTTTATTTTAAAATAAGTCAAGTGTTGCTAACAGCAAATTCTAACTCCGCAATTGTTATGGGATTCTTGCGACTACCGTACTCCATGTTGTCGCTATTTTTTCCACGTCTTCGCCTTCCGACTCGCATTACAACGTACCGTATAGGTACCATAAACGGAAACATGTGTCAAAAGTGCTTCTATCACATGAAAGTTATAAAAATAATACGAACTGCATGACACAAATTATGCATTTGTGAATGATAACTCCTATTTAGGCATAAAAAGTTATCGACCAACTTCGTTTATAGAATCTTCTTACCTCTCTCCAGAAAAGTTGTTATTTTGCAGATGTTACCTTATTACACCAAGGGTGCAATAATATTCGCATTTCATAAGTCCTCGGTAATGATAGTGTGAAGAACTGCCTCTGTGGCCGAACGGTTACCATGCCGGACTGCCACGAAGAGCTCTCGAGTTCAATTCCCGGGCCGGGAGATATATTTGTATGGCCTACATTTATTTCTCTAGTGAGGTTGGGTGTAATTTGTGATTATCTATGCGTGTGTCCATGGCACTCGCGATGCTGGGTTTCCCTAGTGCGGAGCTATGAGTGTGTGTGCGCGTTTTTTACTATTTAATTTAAGATTTAATAAAAACTTATTTTTCATTTATTTAAAATAGATATAGCAAAAAATAATGCAAATCTAGAATTAAAACATTATTCAATTTACAAAACTTGTAAAATCGCTTTTTTCTATTCATGGGCGGAGTACAGATTGACATTGTCTTGGCGATTCATAAAAGAAACAGCCTATTATTATCTCTTAAACAAACACAAAAATGTTTAATGTTCAATCAATCATATAAACAAACAAAAGTAATCATGACATCACAATCTACGAGGAAAATTCAAGCTATTGTTCTACTGAAATTCAACCTATTGTTCTGCTATTTACGCTATACATGTGCGTTTCTGAAACGGCAATGGTTAAGGCAAAATTGCCCTAGTAGAATTACCTTGAGCGTCAGAAGATTGGGGCGTAAGTACTTGAAGACAAATTAGGCATCATTATGGCGGAACCTACAAAGTAACAATGGTCAGGCCACAATGAGCAGTGGCACAAGACTATGAGACGCCCATTACAGGTGCTAACTAATACGAGTAGTTTACTTTTGTATACATTCTATTTGCATCGCTACGTTGATAAACCGCTCACGCGATGCATGCAGCCGTAGACGCATACCACACCTAGAGGTGCCGGTGATGATTTTATACCGATTTATGGGATATCGAAGATATAACAGGTAAAAGAACTAATACTAATTGCTATTTCGGTAACTACTCTAGCAAACCATAAAGTTTTTAATGCCTGGGTCTGTCATTTAAAAAAATAAACAACTTCAAAAATACGTCACGACAATCGTGTGTGTTATTGTTTGGGCTGGTGATTTCGGTGTTTATTTATTGAAAACATACCGTAAGTAGCGTTTTTTAAGTTTACCCTGAATATAAATGTTTATAAACTATACTTTAAGGAGTAATTTCATGGTAAACGTTAGAACCACTCAAACGGAATATTATCATATTTACCCAAGTACACCAAAAATTTCATTAGTGCTTATTAAGTGCAGGATTTGCGGTGTATTACTGCATTTTATTTGAGATTTTTTTTGTTGTGGTACGAAGGGTATTTATTTAGCAATGCAGAAAAAAATATAAATAAAAAATAAAATATTATTTTTATTTATAAAAACTTGTATTTAAACTGAATCCTTTTCTAATTTGCGAAACCAAATAGCCGCCATTTTGCGGTAGAATGAGCGCATCGCGGGAGCGGTTAAACATGCTGAAAAGTTATTTCAACTATATTCCATAATTTAAACAATGATAATCAATACCTCGAATTACAAATAGATTGTTTGTTTTGTGTTTATTTTATGATTTGTGTGGGAATTTTGATCAATTGCATATATTATGATATTTCCGAAAGAACACGGCTCGAAGTGAAATTTAAAGTGATCATAAATGAAAAGGGTTCAAGTAAGTTTTCTGTTCCTAATTTCAGTGGCAATTTTTATTATTTAGGTATTCAAGTATATCATCGTGAAATACGAAATAATATTTCCGGTACTACAGTCGAATATTAAATAATACTTCATGATCATATTCTAGAATGTTTACACCGAAATTAGGTACAGAAAACTAACCTTAATATTACCCAAAATTTGTTGACATGATTACATGTAGCAAAAAAAAATATTTAAAGAACGTTAGCCAATTTTACTTTCTCGAATATTTATAACGAAGATACATTTAGATTAACGTTCTGATGTAAATCAAAATCAGCATATCAAACGAATTCATTGTCTGTCTATTTTCGAATGTAAATGAGATAGAAGTGAAATGTTTTTTTGCATTTGAATGCAAATGCGGGCTTCGCTTTAAAATACATTTTGTTTCAAACAACATGTTAAAAATAACATGTTACGTGCTACGTTACTGGGGGAATTAACCCGCTAACGAAGGGGGTTTAATTTGTTTTTGTTATGTTTATTTGCGTTTGTATTTTAAACTTATGTATATCTGTGACGTAACTGTGTGATATTACGTCTACATTCATGTGGACCCGAATTTTAGAGTTACGCTCTTCACTACACAACTAGTTTGTTTCCAAATAATGTATTTCATTTAGTCACAATTGCGGCTTAAAATTACAGTTGAAATGTCGCTGCAACAGTCGCCTCGCCCATGTAAAGATGCGCTTACTGTCGATCGTATTACTATTGTATATCAAAGCTTAAAAAATTAACATTCAAATCAAAATTTGATGTTACGAAGTAAGACGGTTCTGAACGCACACACCCATAGTCCCGCACTAGGGAAGCCGTGTATCGCGGGTGCCATGGACGCACACGTTATAGACAACCACAAAGTAACTAAGAGGATGGAAAAAAAGTATACGCAAACTCACGAGAGAAATAAACGTAGGATATACAAATATTTCTCCCAGCCTAGGAATCGGACCCGGGACCTCTGCATGGCAGACCAGCATGGTGACCGTTCGGCTGCGGAGGCAGTTTAATTTATCATAAATACTCTTCACAAAATAAACGAAAAATTTTGGAAACCGATACCGAATCAGAAGGGGAAAGAAGTGATACAACTCAAGCTTTTTGGACGAGAACACAACTTCACCCAAGACGATCCACTACGGCAACATCACGCCCAACATCATCCACCATCAACATTCATTCTTAATAACATTACCTAACCACTTACCTAAATAACTAACTACCCCCACTTTCTGTCACGCACTGCATAGCCGGCAGGAATCTGGCCACCGGCTGCGGCTAGTTGGTCTTCCCCTCCACAATCCCGGGCGTGTCACTCCCTTAAACTGTGCCCCCTGGTATATCCGGCTTCTCCGGGTCAGATTTACTCCGGCTGGGTGTGGTACCAATGAACAATGAGCAAAATACTCTTCATAAAATAAATTTACTTCTAACCCGTTTTTTCTTAAATCTTTGCAAGAGAGTTCAATTGTCTCAGCGATGTGATTTCCCTCTACAACAATATCCATGAATAATTGACTGGAGATGTAATTTACAATCAGAGCTTGCTCGTAGTCGCTGCTTAATAAAAAATGTAGAATAAAAACCTTTGTCGACAACGTAGCATGTTTTTGCAACGCTATACTAACCTTGATATATACATATAACCACGATGTAACCCTTAGGAATTACACTATATATCTATATATAATAGTAAGGTAGTACATTTAAAACAAATTTGTTTTATTATCATGCAATTGCATGATAAACATTAGTTTTATAATTATAGTTGCATATTCTTTTCAAAAAGCTGTTTACGTCGTGAAAGCCTGATGGTTTGACCTACCACCTATCAAGCAAAGGGTTCAAATCCGGGTTTACACCTCGTAAGTTTTGGAATTTATGTGCGAAAGTGAAGTTCTACGCGGCACTGCAACTACTATGTACAGGCGTGTCATTTACCACTAGGCGCATGATTTGTTCTTCCAGTCATCTATCATATCATCTATAGTGGTGGTAGAGGACTAGAAGGACGAAAGGTATGCAATAAAAAAATGGAGAATGATGAAGTATAACAATAAGTTTATAACAAAAGAACCTGAAAGTGTTATGATGTAGGTGAGTTGAGTGGTGTGGTGCAAATGAAAGTGTACTGTGTAGGTGAAGATGAAAGAAGTTGCGGGCCTCCGTCCTCCAAGGTTAGAGACCGAGGGCGGAGGTGCAGAGCCGGAGCGCAGCGTGTTCGGCGCGGAGGCGGTGAGTGGAGAGGCTGCACCGACAGCGGCGGTAGTGCAGCAGTAGATTTTATCACTTTGTACTCGGAGGTGGAGTTCTACTTCGTCTTGAGCGTCGGCTTCAGTCACTCCTGCCGCTCCAAACTCGCTTGGTGACGGTGAGGTACACAGTCCAGGTAGGAGGAGCGTAAACGTGAAGACTAAGTTTAACGTGAGGCAGTCGAGGAACTGGTCATCAGGCAGAAGACTTCGTTTATTTACTAGGTCTGGTGAAGACCAGATGCCTCCGAGGTCAGTACAACAATCATGAGCGTTTGGTATAGCGAGAGAGAGCATCGAAATTCGAATAGCCAAGCGGAAACGCTTCTACTGCAAAGATTGCATAGCAAATGAAGAATAATTTATAGGATAATCTATGGAAGAATAAATTGTAGAGAGGTAACATATCTGTCAATCAATGTCAACATGATTTATAAAAAAGAAGACATCCCCCGCCTCTTGCCATCTTTACTACAGAATACGAAGACTTATGAACATTGACTTACAATTATGAACATATATATGCATACATTCCTTCCACCATTGAAGAGATATAGATATCTTCAAATATTTAGAAGAAATACATTGAATACACAATACATTAAGAGAAAAAAGTTTTATTTAAAGCATAGGAAAAAAAAAATTGACGATTTGGCTTGATGGATTTATTCCGATGCCGTGAAACTAATATGAAAAAATATATATAAGCTGCCATTAAGGATATAGAAGAATTCTCACAGGACATTGGCGCAATCGCCATTTTTTTTTGTATAATTTTTATAATAATATTAAACTACCGTACATAGTTATTTTTACTTGACATTGGCAAAATCATTGATTATTTCAATGGAGCCATAACATTTAAAAAAAGAAGAAGAAGAAGGATATAGAATATAATAGAAAATATTAAATATTAAATAAATAAAAAATTAGCAGTGGAAAAACGAATAGCAAAATTTGGAGATACTATCAGTACGATAGAATATGCCAAGGTCAGGAGATCAGATATGAAAAGTGAGTAAATTGTCAAAGTGCGAGAAATAGCTTACAATAGCAAATTTAACTAATTTAGGCACTAATATTTTAGTAAATATTAATTGAAACTCTTTCAGGAATCAGAAAAAATTAAGGGTGTTTACTAGAAAACGTATAATGAGAGAGATGAAAATTATAGGGGTCCGTAGTTTCACACTAGACTATCATTTATATTGCTATGAACTGTTTTGTAGTATGCTTGCTAAAGAACACTATAAACTGAATTGAGTGGAACTGCATCCTATGTTTTCTTGGAACTCGAAGTTCACCACACTAGGTATCATAAAAAAAATTCGAAATTTACCATGAGCTTTTCGATGAAGAAAAACGTCATGACGAGACCTGCACACATATTATTGCAAAGCAATTGAATTGGTAAACAATTACTTAATACGAGTACTTTGTGCATGAGATATTGTATGCAAATTGAAAATCATCTTCTGACAATGACACTCTGCTTTGATAAATTCAGCTGTACCAAGCATAAGTGCGGTCATGTATGGAGTACTGGTGCTACTTATGGGATGGCTCTGCTAAATACCAACTGGGCACCAGGGATTCCTTTGAAAAGAATGCCAAGAGGCTTATAGATGACTCCGATTTAGTAGAGGCGAATTTCCAAGCCTTAAACACCGCCGTAAAGTTACCTGCTTATCAGTATTCTACAGGCTACATCACGAAGAGTGTGCGATGGAATTGCATGATTTAATTCCACCTTCCCCTTTTCATCGTCGAGGGACTAGACGCAGGCTGTGGTTCCACCCCTGTTGTGGATATTCCCAGGATTCGCACGAAACGTTTCTCTCTACATTTATATGACGAGCGACTAGGGAGTGGAATTCCCTGGCTGCGGACGTAACGAACGCTATAACTTGGACCTTTTCAAGGCGAGAGTGGACAGGCATTATTTAGGTGTGCATGCAACATCGTTGACCTTATCGTCACTTTCCATCAGGTGACATGGAGGTCAAATGCGCACTCATTATAGTTTAAAAAAAATTGGACGAGATAGAAGCACCGTATCACTAAAATCCTTTGCAAAGAAAAAAGGATAGGGGCATCTCCTCATCCCTGAGTTAACGATTAATATTTCAGGTGTTATTTGAAATATCGGAAAATGGATTTCAGATTAATTTTCAAGATTCAGGTGAGTTGATTGAAGCAATAAATTTTAGACCTTTTCCTACCCTTTTTTTACCCTACATTTTTTTTTTTTTTTTTTTTTTTTATTGCGATTCGACAAAATGACTGCACCGCGCCTGATGGAAAGTGCGAATACAGTCCAGAGATGAGAGTAACGGATGGAAAACACAAATATCTTCACTCCGTCACTATCATTTTGCCGGTCTGGCCAAATGCACTGGATGTACACCAACTGATCCCTGAACGCGATTCGCAAAAGCGTTTCACTGTGGAGGGTTTTCCGCCGTGTGTACTGTGGTCGCTATCCAGTCGGCACAGAGCCTACCACAATGCTAAGCAGATGGACACTTGTGACGCCCTCGGTCGCCTCTTACGACCCCCACGGGCATGTATGGGGAGGCGACAATGTATTCTTAAGCCGTCGCCCCACGGCTAGAATCTACTACCTACATCCAATATTGAAAGTCATATTCATTACTGTACGTTTTAAGCGACGTCTAAACGACGCTAATCTCCAAATGGACTGCCGCTTTTCCTGTCCAGAAACATACAGATAAAGCCGTAGACATTTGGACTTAAATGGCTTAGTGCCAAAAGTTTGTGACCCCGTAGAGGCACTAACCACCCAGCCGATTGCCCGCAGGCACTCATTCATGACTGGTACTTAATGAATTTTCAGCGTATTTCACAGAGTTCCGACAAACTCCGGGCGTAAATTTTCTGAGTTACGTACACAAACAATATTTGCTTTTGAGTTTAACTCGTTTGACGTTGCGAGTAAGTCGGGACAGTTGATCTTTGTGTAATTTTACGTTCCCTTAATAAGGTACATTTTTATTCGTTGTATTTATAACTCTATCGCTGTTCCAGCTAGAAATAAAATCCTAAAAACTGTTTCCGATGTCGTCGTTGTAACTACATCTACCCATAGCTTAAAATAGTACAGAGCTTTACTTTACGAACATTTTTTTTAGTACAGGCATCAACTTAAAATTTTCGACTTTTTACCATTCTTGTTATAGAAGTTCAATTTGAGAAATTACTCCACTAGTTTGTTATAATTATTAATAACATAGATGGAACATTTACAAAAATTCATTTGATCCGGCTGGATGTGAACCAGCACTCTCGGGCAATGCGTGCCAGATGCTCTGTCAATTAGTCAATTAAGCCATGGAACGAACGAGAAGACCTTACAAATCTTTCTATGTGCTTCTTTCAGATCGTTGTTTTTGATTTATAAGACTTTTTTGCCGTTCGAAATCCAAATTTCAAAATTCAAATGAATCTAAAATGAACGTACCGGTGACTGCGACTTACTATGATTTTCAACATTTATCACCAGAGTACTACATATCAGTCAATAAAATTTAAACTATAATCTATTAAAAAAGTGAATTCGCAATAAAATCCACGGGAGAAGAATTCATGATAGAACTATAACCGCAAACAATGGCACAGAATCCCATTATTAGTGATGCTGGGCTCACACTATCAGTTTCTTTATTATATTCTCAAGGTGATCGTTATGTAACCTAAATTCTCATCATAATTCCAACGAAAACCATTGGCCATATAAATGTAATAAACTTTTCCATAGTTACAAAGCAAGTTACGAAAATCTATGAATATTAAACGTAGTTAAACACAGCTGACTAGTTAAAATAACCAATCCTATAGTTTGCTAGCCGGGATATCCATTCCCCTTACAAAATCAATAAGAGCCATGTTTAAATGAATCAAATATATGCTACCAGACTATATAATAATTTCATTATTATCTTCTACAACGTAAGTAATAGTAGTAGAGCTCCTTGTGAAAGAGTTCGTCCAGCGAAGTACTGCCACCGTACCTTTTTCTGCCGCCAAGAAGTAATGTGAGCATTATTGTGTTTCGGCTATAAGTGTAAGGGTGCTGGTGAAATTACGGGTACATGGGACTTGTCAACTTACGTTTCAGGGTGACGGGCGCACTGAATGAAATCCAACTGTTATGGATATGAACTCTGAATGACATCCAACTGTATAGGCTTGCCGCTTACCATCAGGCCCACAACTTGTTCGTTCCGTCACTTGGTCGAATAAGTCGTGCGCCTAGTGGTAAAAGACACACCTGTCCATACCAATTGCAGTGTCACTCAGAGCTTCAAATGAACTAATGATCAAAGAATAGAAGATTGAAAGATGTGAGGGGCACTGACACAGCGGTCGCCGCTTTGAGACTTAAGTTGACAAGTCTAATGTGCCTGTAATTTCACCAGTACCCTAAATATGATACCTCTAAGTTGATTGTGGTCTTCTACATAAAGCCATTTGGTAAAAAGGAACTCATATTTTACACAGTGTTACCAACTTGATAATATGCAATAGTGTCTACTTTGAAAGCGATGTTGTGAGTAAACAGAATGCGCTGTGGCATTATACATCCTTAGTCGCGCATTTCGACACCTCCAATGGACTCTACCAGGATTTATATGGCGAGCGGCTAGAGAGTGGAATTCCCTACCTGCAGACTTATACCCCGAACGCTATAACTTGAATCTTTTCAAGGCGAGAGTGAATAGGCATTATTTATGTGCATGCCACATCGTCGACCTCATCATCACTTTCCATTAGGTAACAAGGTCAAATGCGCACTTATTTTTTATTAAAAAAAACCTACGTCAGCTTCATTTTTGGCCCAGTTCTCTTTTTTTTCACAAAATTTAATTCGCTTTTTGTTTTTCTTTTTCGAATTTTGTCTTTACTTTCTTTTTTTTTTCACAAAATTCGGGGAGCATAATATTTGTAACCAAATATGATGATCCGACATTTGTAAACCTATTTCGATTATTCTTCTTGTATTGGAAA